TTCTATAATTTTTCATACAAATTATTAAAAAAAGTAAAATAAATATACTCTTAATTCATATTTTTAAAATATATGTTAAATTTTTTTTTAAAATAATATAATACTAAAACAAATGCATAAAATAGTTAGATCAAGCTACCGAGTATCTTGGCTTAGATTACTCTGCAATCGAGGCAAATGATCATGGAAATAAAAGCAACAAAAGCCTAATTTTTCATACAAATTATTAAAAAAATAAAATAAATGCACTCTTAATTCATATTTTTAAAATACATGTTAAAAAACTTTTAAAAAAATAATATAATACTAAAACAAATGCATAAAATAGTTAGATCAAGCTACCGATTATCTTGGCTTAGGTTATCTTGCAATCGAGGCAAATGATCATGGAAATAAAAGCAACAAAAGGCTGGTTATTCACATATCAAATGATTTACAATAATAAATCTGAGCTTAGACTTATCCAACACATCCAAAAACAATTTAAACAAAAATTTCCACTATATAAAGCCACCATCCATCTAGTTATAAATTTTATCCACAAAAAACTACCAGCACTAAAAACTACCATATAAAGTCAGTTGACCACTTGCTTTTGCAAAACAAATTTAAGCTAGAGAAACATCTCGGGACCACAAGCACATTTTCATGCCAGTTACAATTAGGCAAAAGGTGCAGATTACCCCCTTAACTCAACAACTGGTGGCAGATCACCCCCTCAACCCACTTCACGCGCAAATCACCCCCTCAACTCACCTGCAGTGGCAAATCACCCCCTCTGTTAACATCGGCACCATCCTTCCGTTAGCTTTTAACAGTCCATTCACCCACCCCTTTGTTAAATCAGAAATTCCATCTACAGACAAGATCATCTCACTTGCCAAGTGTCATTTTATAAGTAGATTGTAATCTAGTATCTAATGTTATGTCAGCACCATCTCCAACTAGTTTCTTCCTCGTTTCTCTGAGAGCAGATAAGCAGAGAACCAAGCAATGGAAGCCCTCAATGCAACAAGCTTGACACCTCTTTCTTCAACCCCTCCTCTACATCTAACATGGCTTGTTTATGTAATCAGACTTACCATTTTCATTCAAACAACAAACCCGGATAAAAAAAAAACATAAGAAACTCAAAACCCAGATGCAAATCGTTACCATCTCGCAAAAACTCGATACTCAGATGCTCTCCAACAAAAAAACCAAGTACCCAGAAGAGGGGATGAGAAAGGATGAATAACAAGAGGAAGAAAACAAAAGCAGGGTATGTGAAAAAATAGGTTTTTGGTTGTAGAATCTGGGGAAAAGGGGTTAAAAAGACAGTGTCTTAGGGTAACAATGATGAGGAGAATGAGAGAGGAGAGAGATAGGTAAAGGAGAAAAGGACTTAATAGCTTCTTGTTCACCATTTTTTGCTACTTCCACACACTCGCAGGTAATGTTTGGGGATTTTGGTTTTAGGCTTTTTTGACCCCTTGTCTTCCCTTTGTTGATTGGATCACTCAGGTTCACCCACCCAAGTCGTGGCTCGCCCAACCAAACTCAACTCTATTTTGCCAAAGACGTTGAGCTCCGGCGTCTGAAGAAGCTGCCAAACTACGGTCGGAGAGGAATATTCCTCTTGGAGTTTCCTCGTCGGAGGGGAGACCCAAGTTGACGAATTGCTCTTGAACGTGACAATACAAGGTAGCGTCGGTGCAGTGCAAGTTGTTCCGTCGCAGGAGAACACTGTCGGAGACCTAATCGCAGCCGTAGTGAGGCAAGAAGTAAAGGAAGGTCGCCATCCAATTTTGCCGTCAACAGATCCCTCACGCTTCGATCTCCAGTCACCATTTTCAATCATATCCTTAACAATTTCAATTGTGTTACCAGGATGCTATGCGATTTTGGCTATTCCGATTGTTCTGTCTCAGGTATTTTTAACATAAATTGCTCAGTAGTCCCACATGCTGCTTAAGCCATCTGCCATCCGCCAAGAATTTTGTTTGATCTACTTATTTTGAGGTGATTTGTCTAGGTGTGCCTCCACCTCAGCATCCATCTCAGCAAAAAAAGGCCACGTCAAACACAGAGGAAGTGCTTATGAGCGGACTGTTAAAAGCTAACGGAGGGATGGTGCCGGTGTTAACAAAAGGGGTGATTTGCCACTGCAAGTGAGTTGAGGGGGTGATTTGCGCGTGAAGTGGGTTGAGAGGGTAATTTGCCACCAGTTGTTGAGTTGAGGGGGTGATTTGCACCTTTTGCCTTACAATTACTCTATCAAGAGAAAAGCATAAAGAAAGCAATCTTTTCAAATGCATTTACTTTCTAACAGAAGATTGCACGAACACAAGTGTCAGACTAAAAAAAATATTCACGCCTTTTACAGAAACCAAGAGAAGAGCACAAGTGGACAAGAAGGAATTAAAGAAGAAACCTTTAATTGATGCCATTAACAAAATTTTGAAGATCTATAGTCTCTGCTTGATTAGTAACAAATTTATCAATAATTTAAATAATTTAATAGTTATTTTTTTTATTAAAAAAAAATTTTTAAATTCAAATTACATGATATGCAGGTAGAGTAAGATAAAAGATAAAAAATAATTATCTCATTATGTAACTAAGATTAAAAAAAAAAAAACAAAACAAATCTTATCATACATCATCATATCCTCACTGTCTGGTGGTCTCAGCACCCATCCCATTCTTGAAATACTCTATGGATTTCGTGATTTGCAGTAAACCCTATATTAAGTTGTGTTCAAAACCTGAGTATTTTGAACAAAAGTAAAAAATAAGTTTAGTTTAGTTGAAACTTTATAGATTTTTTTTTTTAGTTTAAATTATTGTGTTAAGTTTAGTTAGTGATTTTAATTTTTTACATTATAATTAATTAATTTTTTTATAAAAATAATCTAAAAATAATTTTTTATTATTTTTAAAACCTGAGTATTTTGAACAAAAGTAAAAAATA